GAAATAAAAAAAAAAATTTTTAAAAACCTTGTTTTTCTTGGTCAGGCCGGAAACTTATCAATCCACCCTCGTATAGATGACCATAAGTTTGTATATTATAGTAACCTGTCCAAATTTGGATTAGGATATCAGTTCACCTAGCTGCGAAAACCTGTACCAATTTCAGAAAGTCGGATTTTCAAAGTTGTTGAATTTAGAATATTGAGTCATATTACTTCCAATCAAAGAATCGAAAAAATCCCTGGAGAGATTAATTTATTCTTTTATGAAATTATAATTGAAATCCATTTTCATAATTTCTTGGATATTAGATCTTTTGTTCTCTTATCTAAACGTATTAACCCCATTTTAACTGGATAAAGCTCGATGTCTTTTAGAAGCATATCCGTTAATAATAGCAGTCTCAGTCAGCTGGCTTGTACTTACTGCTTTGGACGGAAATTCCTTGTAATTAGATTCTAGATTCGCGTTAAAAGATATTCCAGGATTCCGTAGCATAAAGTAGTGATGTACTGTAATTAAAATAATTGAATTGCTTTAACCTCTTCTTGATGAGACATGTTATTTAGCGGTAATGTTATACTGTTTCCCAGACACAAAAATGCAAAATAAGATTGTATTTGATCATTAATTAATAACAATATTTTTTGTTTAGTTATTTTTATATTGGTAAATGTCTAGATGATCGCCCTCCTTCGGGGGTGGGGGTGGGTGGGATCGAAAAAGGAGGTCTTCCCCACCACTGTACCATAAAAAGTTCGTGGCGGTCTCACCCCCGTAAAATGGGGGTAGATGGGGTTGAGGGTAGGGGGGCCGAAAGAGGGTAGAGGGGATCGAAGGAGGGTGGTCACTTGAGTAAAACTCCATAACAAATATGCGTCGGTCTCACCCCCTTAAAAAGTTACGGGGGTTGAAAAGTTGATTATTTTGACAATTTTCATACACTATAATTCAAATAAAATTCAATAAAAAAAATATTTTCAAGCGAGTGGAGGTAGGGGATCGAAAGAAGGTGGTCACTCGAACAAAACTCGATAACCTAACCTTACTTACCCTACGGATAAAGATATTTAAATAATGTTTTATATAACTTTCTCAATATTTTTATGTACTTCTCATTAGTTTTACCTTTGAATATTGTTTAAGAATGACTGTATAAATATTTACATGCCTAGAAATGTATAAAAATTGGCATATTTATTAACTTTGAACACCCATAACTTTTTATGGGGGTGAGACCGCCACGAACTGTTTATGGTACAGTGGTGGGGGAGACCTCCTCTTTCGATCCCCCCACTCCCACCCCCTTCGGGACCATCATCTAGACCTTTGTCAAGTAGTTTCTATTGGATATCATGAGAGTAAAGTGCCAATACCTTATCAAATACTGGCGGGATTGGTGGTTCTGATTAATTCGAAGTAAGTAGAAGTAAAATAAACATGTATACTACACAAAGTTCTCTGACTGACATTGTTAAAAAGTAATGTTTTTTTATCAATTACCGCAATATTTTTTTATTAAATGATAATAAAACAATAATTCTCTAGATAATTCTTTTGTTGGTTTTTATTATTGCAATATAGATATAGACCACATATTACAGAACAAACGATAATAAGTACTTACACACACTGTTTAGTCATATGTCGTTGTTCATGAAGTGTGTTTAATGTCAAGTGCCTAGAAGTCGGATTTAAATAGAAAATTATTATTTTTAGTAAGACAACGACCTTTTAAATTACACCACAAACGTCATGTGATGCGTGTCTTGTTTTTGCATGTAACATGTTGGACTTTTCTCCGAAAATGAGTTGTATAACTAGTAATTTTATTGTACAATACTCGACGTGCATTTTTTGAAATTTTAAAATGTTTACTTTATTATTGAAACAAAATAATTCACTCATAGCTACAATAATTTTCCTTGTGAGAGTTTGTATACCTCTAGCAAATGTAAACTAATATTTAGTATTGTCGTATAAATTCTTGTTAATTTTATAGGTGATCATACCATATATGTGTGTTGTTCAAATTGGTTGTAATCCTACGGGAATTGTCTGAAACTCTCCCAGGCAAATGTCACTGAAATCCGATGTGTACAGTTACAAAGGCTTTATCCGATGTTGGAGGTGTATTTTCCAAAAAATTTCACAATGGACTAATCCCCTGGCATCACTTATGTAGTTTGTATGTCAAGGGTTAAATTTTGGAAGGGTTAATCGGTTGCGGTATAATTAAAACAGGATATCATGATTGTTTTTGAAACTAGAAGTTTGTCATTTTTGTATTTCTTTCTATTAAAACAGTAATTAAAATAATAATTCAGGAATTAACAAAAGCAAGTTTTAAAGGGTAGAAGTTCAGTTAAGTGTATTGAATGAAATGAAAATAATAATTAAATGCGTCTATTTCATGTGGCATATTTTCATTAACAGAATAAATCAAGCGTAAGTTGTTTTGAACGGCGAAATGGGTGAGAACAGATTAGATCTTTTGCAAAAACGGTTACGAAGCGGCTAAGGAAAAGAAAATAAAAAATGTTACTTATAAATGACAAGTAAAATGAATGATAGCTCCAAGCTGCGACGTTCCCAGATGTAGGGCAAGGATGCTGGGGCTTGATTTTAGCATCGTAGAAAGAAATAAGAATGTCGACTTTAATAATTCTTATGAATTAATAAAAATTAATATGTTCTAGAAGAAGTTTTCCACATTTCTAATTATTTACGATCAGTGATCTAATCTAGGTCTGCGTCTACCCCTCTTAACTCCTCTTTCTGCTTCTAGTATGTCTCTGACTAAAGGTGTTCTACTATCCTGTATCTCCTCCTCCTGATTGACTTCCATGGCGTCCTGTTCTGTTCTCTTTCTCAATTTTTCATTTCTAAGGTTTTCTATGGCATGAAGGTCTAGTCAGAGACATATTAGGGGCAGAAACGGATGTTAGGAGGGGTAGAGGTAGACCTAGATTACATTACTGTTCGTAAATAGTTAAGGATGTGGGTTGTTCTAGTTTTGAACCTAGCGGCATGGCCTAGAGGTCTAGACCATTGCTTAGCATTCGGGAGGACGCCGGTTCGATTCCGGGTCCGTCTGCCTTGGTCCAAGTTTTTCTGTGGTTTCCTTGGATCACTTAGGTAAATGCTGAGGCAGTAATATTCCACAGATAATCTTTCATTCTCTTCTGTCTTCATTTCGTCCGTCTCATCTTTCTCACCCGAACCACCACCCACCCATTTCCACGATTCCTGAAAGCAGGCTGAAGAGGGCCTTTCGCCCTACCTTCCGGCATAGTCCGGAGGGACTGCCCGCCCACCAGCATATGTGGCTGGTGGGAATGAAACACCCAAAAGTTTATTTTTTCTACTTTTGGAGAAATGCGAAGATTAGCCCAGGATAGAAAAGAGTGCCGGTGCTTGTCCAACCAGTCTTAGGACTTACGACCTTATGATGATGATGAAGTTTTTCTATTCACTGAATTTCAAGCGTATACTTTGAAGGACCTTTTTGAATTCCTACATTTACAGTTGGCTAGCACAGAAGTGGTTTCTTTTTGTTAAAATCATCTCTATCTTCGCTATTATTTTTTATTCCATTCTTCTACCACTTATTCCATCCTGAACTAACTCTCTCTTCCTGGATATCAAAAATCAACTACTTCTTCTACTTTTGTTTCAAGTCTTTAATATCTATGAAGTTGTGATTAAATTCAGTCCCTTCAGTGTTCAACTGATGCGTCTATTATGTATTTTTAGAACATTGTGTACTTACGAAATACATACTATTATGTATAACAACAAACAGGATTATCGTTCGTATTGAAAACCGTTTCACGTTGGATTAATCGAAAGACGATAAACAAACAAAAGGGATGTGGGCGGAAAACCGCGAGGATCGGAGCGAATATTTGAAAGCGGTACTAAAAGCTTACTTATTATAATACTCTAGATAGCACTATTGCAAAATCTTCTTGCTGTTGTTTCAGCGCTTCAGGTCGGTAATGACGGCGATAGGCAGTCACAGGACAAAGAGTCTGCATTAGATAATGAATAAATGTAAATGTTGACTTGGTAGCATGGCTTTAAAGTATGCAAAACCATCATCAGCCTACTACTTTGTTACGTCTCGGTGCACTTCTGACGACAGAAACAATTTGTTAAAACGCCCTTTCAAACTATAATTACATCATGGTGGGTTTCTTACTCCCACTGTTACACCCTCGCTTATATCTTTATCGATGTTTACAGGGTGTTGGTATTATAAAAACAACCCCAAAAGATATCATACTACTTAATAGCTAATGCATGGTGTTAAATGTGTTTTTTTACTTTATCTGCTTCTAAAACAATTGAAATCAGACTTACGAAGTGTACAAGATTTTCGAAAATACTTAGCTGAAGAATTATAGTGAAAACTGAAGACTTTTAATTTTACAGAAATTTGATTTGATTTAGAACCAATTTTACTGGTAGATATCTTTGTAAAACGTATGGCTCCATGCCAAACTTTTGAAATACAATAGTTAACACCAAGTATGGGTAGATAACGATGTACTACTGCCCATAACGTAGAATTTTATGATAATGATGAAAGGCTAGTTAGAGACATATTAGAAGCATAAACAGGAGCTAAGAGGAGGTGAGGTAGACGTAGATTAGATTACTGTTCGCAAATAGTTAAGGATATGGGATGTTCTAGTTTTGGGGAAATGTGAAGATTAGCTCAGGATAGGAAGGAGTGGCGGTGCGTGTCCAAACAGTCTTAGGACTGACGACGTTGTGATGATGATAACTATAAGGAGTGGAGGTGCTTATCCAACCAGTCTTAAGACTGGTGACCTTATGATGATGATGATAATTGCAGTGTTTTAATATAAAATTTAATCTAAATCACACACATGAAGTCCCTGTTACTAAATCTGTGTAATAGTTAGACTGCCTCGATCCGATGAATTTTCCTGTATGGATTTTGTGTTAATGGTCATTTTCCTTTGTTGCAGGGAAGAAGTGGTTGATCATACTGTGAAATGGAACACTCGATTTTCGTTTCAGTGCAAAATGTTGGCCCCGGCCTCGACCGGTGTCTTAGAACCTTGCGTTCTAAGGATCTCCGTACGAAAGGAATGCAAGGGCGGAAGATCGTTCACGAAGCTTGGCTTCGTCGATCTCAATCTGGCCGAATTCGCCGGGGCTGGAGAGACGTCGCGAAAAGCGCTGCTCGAAGGATATGACACTCGGCGGCGGCAGGATAATTCAATGCTCAAATTTTCAATCAAAATGAACATGCTCGCTGGCGATGTACTATTTAAAGTGTAAGTGTTTTATTTACAAATTTATAGTACATGTGATACACAGTACCCAAGTACCCATAGTAATATTAGTGACAAATTGCGTATTCAAAGTTTTGAGACAATTTTAAGGCTGGGTTTTCGTCAAGAAATAAAGATATGCGTTATATCAACTGTAACTTAAGTGTAATTTTTTTTGTTATAAGTACTTCATTCTTTCTTTCAAATTAAAGATAAAACTAAAGTTGATACGTGAAATTATCGATTAAGTCTGGATTTTTAGTTTTTTTTTATCGAGTTGTTCAGCATTGTGATGTGTCCATTATCTGCATCAAACTGTTTTTTTGGAGACGTTTCTGTTCTTTTCAGACCCTCTCCTTCGTTAAAACATAAGCCTGTAACTAGCGAAGAATGTTTACCAGACCCAGTTCTTCCCGACGAGTTCTCCGCTGGTTCTTTAGCCGGTTCTATAGCCAGTGCGAGTTCAGGTTTTGGAAGTTTACCCAAAAAACGTCCTCCACTCCTTACCTCAGGTGAGTGATGTCTCTTTTTATCTTGTTTACCTCTTTTCGATCGCTAAATAGGCACTTAGTAATTTCCATAAAACATAAATTAACTTGCCGAAAATGGAAAAATAATTAAAAGACTCAGGCATGTTGATAACAGTATCTGGGCAGTTCTTTTATGTTGATATTATACCTAACAGTTTCTGAGAAACCATACTAATCTACAGGGTGTAACAGAAACAGGTGCCGAGCTTGCAGGAGGTAATAAAGCACTATAAAATATGAAAATTATGTAAATGTTTGTATGTCCGAAAGTTTACCGTTTTCGAGAAAAACGTAATTGAAAGTACAAATAAATTCAATTCCGGCCCTGGTAAAGAAATACGGTCCGCAACGCTGCACTCAATCAACTAGGGTTTACCAGCATCAGTGTAGTGGTATTTGTTTTGTATGAAAATTATGTAAATGTTTGTATGTGCGAAAGTTTACCGTTTTCGAGAAAAACGTAGTTGAAAATACAAATAAATTCAATCCCGGTCCTGGTAAAGAAATACGGTCCGCAACGCTGCACTCAATCAACTAGGGTTTACCAGCATCAGTGTAGTAGTATTTGTTTTGTGCGAAAATTATGTAAATGTTTGTATGTGCGAAAGTTTACCGTTTTCGAGAAAAACGTAGTTGAAAATACAAATAAATTCAATCCCGGTCCTGGTAAAGAAATACGGTCCGCAACGCTGCACTCAATCAACTAGGGTTTACCAGCATCAGTGTAGTAGTATTTGTTTTGTATGAAAATTATGTAAATGTTTGTATGTCCGAAAGTTTACCGTTTTCGAGAAAAACGTAGTTGAAAATACAAATAAATTCAATTCCGGCCCTGGTAAAGAAATACGGTCCTCCACGCTGCACTCAATCAACTAATGTTTACCAGCATCAGTGTAGTAGTATATGTTTTGTATTTTTTTACTCGTGTATTATTTATTTGTTATAGTAAATTAAGTGCGATTAAGTTTATTCTTTTAACGTTTAGACCTTGTGTGAAGTTCAATAAAATAATTCGGAAATAATCTTCGATTTTAAAGAAGATCACCACCACAACCATTCGCAGAAAGATAAATGTAAATAAACATAACTTACATTTTTTCTTTTCTTTTGTGTTCATACGTTTACTGTAATGTGCTTACTTAATTTATTTAGTCTAAACATTATGTGCAATACTGAATTGATTATGTTTATCTTAGACATTCGATAATCGGCAATGTTGACATGCATTATCTATGTAGCTGTAGTGTTTGTATTGTACTACGCTATTCGGTAGATATCTATGTTGCCAATTCACGCACAGGACCGGCTTCGGTTATAAATTATTGAACTCATCGTGCGATTGTTTGCATATTGCATCTGGTTTACATACTCCAGAGCTCGGCACTTATTTCTATTAAAAAGGATCTTCAAATTTGACCCAGTGTGGTAGCAAAACTGGAACACCCTGTTTATAAATTGCAAGTCGTTGCAAATACCACCTGGAGGTGTTCCAGTACATGGTAATACGGCGAAATTGTTTGCACAAACTGCCCAGTAATAAATTGTCGGGCTTTTGACAAGTAAGCAAACAGTGTAAGCGAGAAATTCTTACATTTGTTTGCTCACTTCATTTACAGAACTAACGATCGGACAGACGCTGTCTGAGAACAGTGTCCCCGTTAGTATCGCCACCGACAACAGTGGCGACGTCGTTATGGCGCTTAAGGAACCGGAAGAGTGTTTGAACGAACCGGGACATTCTAGGAATTCGTCCAATACGAGCCAAATGTCGAAAGCGTCGGGATACAGTAGCATCCACTCGCATAGCAGACACTCCAGCTCCGGTGACTCAGGGCATATAAGGTTAGACCTTTTTCGGTTTACATCATAATAGCGGGAACAAAATAAGTACCGTATGGGTCAGCTACCAATATCTGAATGACATCAAACGTATCTTTTATGACCTGATGACCTCCAAACCAAATAAATTAGTAAATGCTCATGACATATTTAATTTAAGACTTCGGTAGCTGTATCTAACAGTACTTGTAATATGGTCTGGGAGTAGATCTTGGATGTACTTTGGCACTTCTTCTATTTTTAAATTAATACAAACATGTTGCTTCTATGTATTGAAAGAGCACACCATTACATTCTTTGTGGAATTCTAAGAAACTTTTTTCTTTTCACTTTTTTGATCCGATGTATAATAGCCGAGATATCTACGATTTAAAATTAAACCAGTCAATACATGTTCTTGTTGCTGCAAGTAGAAGTACCGCCAGAACCAATAGAAACAAATAAGCTGCGAGTAGATGTGGGCGTGGTTCAAACAATTACCGGTGATTGGCGTGCAGCTGATACAGCTCCTTTTGATTGGTGTATTCAGTTATTTGTTTATTGGAATTTTCTCAATAACTAAACGTCTGATTGAAAAATTGAAAAGGAAAAAGTTTCTTAGAATTCCGAAAGGTATCGCGTGGGGTAATTTTCCTGTTACATTTTCTAAACGTCGTGAATGTTTAATTATTATTTTTTTGTGTGAACATTGTATTTGTATGTAACAATTAACATTATGGTTTTCATCAATTTTTATTTATTCGCAATTTTAGGCTTTCAGGCCTGTTTATGTTTCTCAAAGGGTTTCAGTTTGTTGATGAAATGCGTGGTCACCCTTTTTATTATTAGATTATCTTAACAAAATTGATTTACATATTTTAATTAAAGAAAGGTCGTGTAACTGGTGAATATACATAACTCTATACTGTCACTATATTGTCACTTTTTTTGTTTTATTTTTGGTCACTCATATTTCTCTACTCATGTATAAGACACCAGGTATATTTCTTGTTTTTTTTTGTTCGTCAAAACCTTTTGCATGCCTTCTTTATTTTTGTTATCTAGGAACCTACATATGCCCAAGTGGTTAGCGTCCCACAAATCTTCAAATCTTTCTCCCTCTTCCCCATCCTTTCCCATGTTCTATATCCAGAGACAGATGATATGGAAAAAGAAAACCTTTTCTGTAGATTCGGGTTTCGAGTTGTACACCACCCCTGAGGGTGATGCATCGATCAATAACAATGACGCGTCGGTAACTGAAAATTCAAGCGACAGCGGTAACTGTAGTGACCTTTATTACACCCCCGATAGCACGATGGATTCCGACGAGGTTTTTAAAACCGCGGACATTAAGTTTGTCAGTTCCGACGTCTTTTCGAATAGTTTTAGTAAAGCGAAAACGAACGAGTTGCAAAAGTCTTGTTCGTGTACCACCGTTGAAATGCGAGTAAAGAGTATGTCTCCCATCAAGGAAGTTCCCGATCATCATTTATCGGACAATGGAAACGGTTTAGACCGTTTGAGTTTGAATAGCAGTGGGTTTAGTGACAAGCAAGGGGGTGTTTTGAGGTCCAAAAGTGACTTCGAAATACCAAAGCACGATCACAGTCCCACTGCTAGGCGCGAGGGCATTTTTCAAAGTTTGATGCACAAATCGGAAAATTTTATCTCATACGTGACCCCGAGAGGGTCGAGGAAGATCAGCAGTAACGGTATTTCGGATAAAATTGGTAACCAGTCGACGCCCGTGCAACAGGGTGGTGGCAATAATAATAATAATGTTAAAATGAACGTATCTCCAGTTTCAAAATTTCCCGCCCATAGTGAACCCTGTACCAGAACCGCTTCCCCCACTTCTTCTATTCGGTCGAGGATTACGTTTGCCGAGGGGCAGCCCGTTAATGGCATCAGGGGGAGGTAAGTTTTAGATACGTATTTATATCGGTAGATTTTTGTTTTACTTTTGATAATAATCTAACAATTCCTAAATGGCAGCTAGTTTACTACTAAGTAGCACCTATTTTTTGCTTTTGGGATTTACGAGTAGCTTTTGTTTTGTAACTATTGTGATTGATTGAGAAAAAAGTGAAATTAAAAAAAATGTATTTTTAAAAGGACCTTGTTGGAGCATATGTAATCCTCAAATGTAGCATCGTACTACAGATGGCGCTCACCACGCCATTTGTAGTATTTTCTAAAACGCGCTGTTAAGACAGCAGGTAAAGGTTGGTCTGTGTTCTGTCGGAGCTGCCTGCGACGCGCTGATGAGATCCAAAAAGATCGAAATCGCGATCCGCGTCTGGCAGTTTCGACAGAATACAGACCACTTCGAATTATTTTGTTCTATTCTGATAAATATTAATAAACTTTCCCATTGTAACATTACTTAAGAACTTATTAACAATTTTTATGCAATTCTTATGAAAAATATAATTTTACATCTCATCGCAGAATTATCGAAAGAATCACGATCTATATGTACTAAAGAAAGATTAATCTAAGTTACAATACAGTTACGAATTGTAGTTTTTTTGTATTAAAAGGGTGTTGTGATCGCTTTATTTATTTTTTAACTTCTCTTATGTAAATAACTTTTATTTATTTTGTTTTGTTTAAAAAATCATCTATCACATTTGATACCTGTAGTTGCTTTTTCGTTTAGTTGCACGCTTTCTGTTTTGTTTTCATAATTATATGTATATGATAACACGAGTTTTCAGACCGAAAAGGCCTACAGATAACGTACGTATTAACCAACTTCTACAGTACTTTCTATTTTCACTTTTCAATTTTATTTTATGATTATTTGCGTACATAGTTTATGGTCGCTCTAACTACTTCATCTTTTTCTGGTAGCAGGAACCTGTTTTATTTTCTGGTGGATTATTTTTGCTTCAAACAAGACTAATAACGATGATGATTGAAGTCTATTTTTGATTTTCTATAAGACTTACTCGATTTTAAAGTATAAAGCATCAACCCACTACATTTCCATTGTTTCCAAAGAAAATAAGAATAAATTAAGCATTTACTTCACAATGGTTTTTACTTTTGTAACAATTTCTAATGATTTATGGAAATTTAATGTTTTTCTTATGACCAAGTGGAATTTCCACTTTATTCAATGTAAGAACAAACCAAGATATTTGTATGATGAATGATTTGGCAGATTATTGTTCCAATTTAGTTTTCTTTTTTTTTTTTGTTTATCATTTCGTTATTAGATATGACAACTCAATTTTTTTCCGAAAATTTTCCCTCCTTTACTGATGATTTTGAAATAAGCAATACCTTTCAGTGGATTTGATAGATAGTTTTTGGAAAATTTTAAATTCCTTTGGGAATGCGATTTGCTACAAACCTGTTTTATTTTATTACATTAACTACGTCGTAGAAAATGTCAATAAAAAGGACATAACATTTTTTTTTGCAATCGTAAAAACGAATAAGTCATTCGGGCTGCATTACACTTTATATTCTTTATACCAAATAGTCGTATAAAAAATTCTGGGAAAACGTTATTTTCAGTTTTTAGTTCTGTTTTCCTGACTTGTTTTATAATCAAGTTAATGGTATCGTTTTACTTTCTTAAAGAAACTTTTAATAAACGTCTTGAAGCGAACTTTTTTATTAATTGGCTGAGATAAAAATTCGCCGAATTATTTTAGGTCAAACAGCATGCTTGTTGAGATTAAAACTGATGGGGAGAGAGCGGGGAAACAGTCACTTGAAGTTGGAAATTTGGAAAAGCATGATATTAAACAATAGTATTTTTTCTGTATCTGCAATATCACTTTAAACGTCTTGAAATTAGTTTGAATGTTAGATCCTTTATTATTAATTTGTAACGTCCGTTTTAATTCGTCGATTATACAGGGTGTTCCAAAAACTAGTGCCAAAAGGAATCAGAAAGGTAGAAGACTTTAGGCACTATTCCATTGGGCCCTGTATGACTGCAGTGGCTTACAGATAAATTATTTACCTAGTGTATTATATGATAATAATAAGCTCTATGTCTTCAGAACTGTTAGTAGATTGCATATGGTGTGCTCTCGTCTACTAGTAGTCCTGAAAATGTAGTTTCCGTTTCCTATAAATTAGCCGACTTGATACATTCGGTTGTGATGCCAGTGAAGATATTTAACACTATTCATGTAGGTATGTTAGTTTGACAGACCTGCTCGACCAAAGTAACTTTTGTTTCATTCACCAGTTATGGCTTTTATATTGGTTTTTCAGAGGCTTATCTCACCGTAAGATATTAGAAGGAGGCTCTGGAGGTAAGCTGGCCCCAGTGGCCAACAGTCCAGACGAAGCGCCTTTTGTGTCGTCTGATAGTTCGCTAAATCCCCAAGTCCGACGTCCCAGCATCACTAAGTTAGTCTATTTCTGTTGTTGGTGTCCCCTTGCGTGTGTATTGACGTGACTCTATTCGTAGCATGACTCTGTTGTATTGCCTTTTACATGTACAAATCTTCAACTGTGTCACTCTAAAATTTAGTTTTGTTGCTTTTTCGACATAAAACATGAAGCTAAAGCTTGGCTAAAGCTCCCAGGAATGGGCCTGATTCGTCATCTTACATTTTTTATTGGTCTATTGCCTGTGATCCTACTTTTGTCTCTTATTACCGCACTTCCTCTATTTCCCTTGAAGAAGTTAACTCTTATCTGACAGTCAAGCTTTCGAGTAATGACACTGACCGCAAAAGCCTTCTTTCGTCGTTAACTAATTATTATATTTCGTTCATTTGGAACGTCGCTTCTGATGCTGAATAATAATTATTTTTGTAAAAACAACCCAGGCAAACGTATGATTTGTAATGTAAATTGCCCAAATATGTTTGATTGTAAAAAATCCTGTGTTTTTGCGTTTCCTGCAGGCTTTCTCTTCCATTGTCTCACCTTTTTTTTTTTCGTTATTTTGCATGTATTTTTTAGGCATTCACATTCCTAACTCCGCACATATTTTCTTACTCAGTGCTAGATAAGTTTCATTTCTCAATTTTTTTTTAAGTATCTATAAGTGTTTTTGAAGAGTGGTTGTTTTTAAGGTTTAGCTTGCGATTAGTTAAAAACTAGAGTCTGTTTTCTTAATTCGCAAACTTTGGCTTTAATCAAGAAAAGTTTGCAACTCTTTTATATACAAACATCCTTGGGATGGAATTTATAAACAGCATTGATCTCTACAGATCCTGATAAATAAAAAAATGTTTTGGGAAAAGTTTATTTTGTACTTGAAAGTAGCAATTTCTGAACTATTTTGAAATGAAGTAAGTTTAGAATTTATTAAAGGAATTTATTATACACGATTTTGATTATATTACTTTATTATTAAAAAAAATAGCAATCATAGTTTAACATACTAATAAAGTTATGACCAACCACTCTTATTGACTGTATCCATAAAGAAAATGTTATCAGATTTATCAAATCATTTGTTTTATCTGTATGTATGTATGCCAAATGTAGCACATACACTAATTGTTTTGTAATTCATATTTCTACTGTTTTTGTTTATGAATTAAGGAGCAGTTTAAGAGTTGCCGTTTTTTTAGGAATCACAGCTCTGGTAGTTTAGTTCTGTCGGAAACTGGATCTCTGGATAGGGCGAAAGCTGCACTTGAGAGAAGAAAAAAGGCTCAGAACCAGGACACAGAATTGGCAACTGTCTCGGGAAGGGTCGAAGGAACGAGGGTCAATCCGGATCACCTCATAGCAGAACTTCTGAAGAACACCAACCTCGAGCAAACCGACGATTCCGCGGAATGTAAGTAATTTATTCGCTCACATGGAAAAATCTGTCTGAGATTTCTGTCACTCTTCTTGTGCTTTGAGACTTTATAGCTTTTAATAATTTACTAAAAGCTCTTAAGTCTGACTGAGATTTTCTATCACTCTTCGATTTCTCTTGTATTTTGAGATTTTATAGCTTTTAATAATGTACTAAAAGCTTCTTAGACTGACTGAGATTGTCTATCACTCCTCGATTTCTCTTGTGCTTTGAGACTTTATAGCTTTTAATAAATTACTGAAAGCTCTTAAGTCTGTCTGTGATTTTCTATCACCTTCGATTTCTCTTGTACTTTGAGACTATAGCTTTTAATAAAGTACTAAAAGCTTCTTAGACTGTCTGAGATTTTGTGTCCCTCCTCAATTTCTCTTGTGTTTTTGACTTTATAGCTTGTAATAAAGTACTAAAAGCTGTTATAGAAATTTGACACAGATTGATGTTGATTATGTATTTCTGTTGTAGCTTCTGGTTTGCAATTATTTATTGCAAAAGATGGTACTGCAGCCCTAGGAAATCATGAGGTGAAGTCTCAGATGTCAACGGGGGCGCAACTATTCAAACAAGTGGTTATGGAAGACAAGAGGTAGCCGTCAGCTGAAGGCGATATCTCAGTAGTAGCTTAGTTAAAGGGAAAGGAAAAAGAAAACTGCTCAGCCAAGGAGTCTGTTCGTCATCCATAACGACGACTGACTCCTCCATAGTAAACGAAATGGAAAACAAAAAACGTACTAGTAAACGTTTAACGAAAATGATATTATTATTAAAAAGGTGGATCTGGATGTTTTGAAGTTGCTGCAAAATTTATTATTACTGCTTCCAAATTTTTATACTAGGAATCTAAATAAATAATTGCCTTTGTTAAGTTTGTGGGTGTGCCAGTCTTTTCTGAAAAAAGGTAATAAATAGTTAAATAGACCAAACGTTGAGATTAATTTTACTTGGGGAAGCAAGACAGGAAACAAGAAGACATTGCTAGGATATGATAACATAAGAAAAATATATTTAACTCTTTTCGAATTTTTAATTTTTGCAGTTTTAATAGAAACTAAATTATTTACCGTTTGATTTGTATATTTTTAAAGAATCAGTATGTATATCATTTTATAGTTAAGTCTTTTTTAGGTTTGTGTGGTTTTCTTCCCATATGCGCACACATAAAATCAAAGAATAATGTATTTTATTAGAAATCTCAATAAGGATACAGGTTTTAACGATTGTAGTTGATACAAGTTATTATTCAATGAAAGCAAAGGGTCTGCAGGAGTATAAATTTTAAAAAACTTGTTACACTCACTCATGTGGGAGTAATTGCATAATCTTTTATTACTATTACTTTACTAATCTTTTTTAAATTATGCTTTTGTATGCTTTTAAGTATCAAACAGAAAACATTACGTTATTATCTGAATTGAGAAGATATTTTACAATTTTATTTTAGTAAATTATTTTTAATTTATTTCTTTTAAACAACGTCAGAGAAGATATGCCGCCCCATTAATGTCAAATCGCTACGTAATTAATAGTGTTAAAAAAAAAGTGTTGATGATGATGATGGTGATGTAGCTTGTTGTAGAACTCCTGGTTTTCCACTTTTATAACACGTTACTGTTTATTTTGGACTTTTGCAGTATTATATTTACCCCATTAAGTTAAAAGAAAGAATGATATCCTTTTTTACACATTTACATTGTATTGCCAACTAATGTGATATAAAGTTAAGTGCAAAAATACATCACTGCTTAAGTGATATCAATATAAGGTTGACAATATTATTTATTGTAAATTATTAATTATGATTAGTGTACAGTTCTGTATTTATTTATTACATACTTCCTAATTTTTTCCTCTGTATTTTATTTATTAAGAAGTTAACAAATAAATTGTAATTTTGTTCGCGACCCATGTGTTTTTAATCAGCAGCGAAACGACACTAATTTGAAATTGATATTAAAAAAGTGATAATGAGCAATTTGCATCGTTAGAAAGTGTATTCTTTCCCTTATTTTTCGAATAATAATAGATGATCCAGTTATTTATAAACTCAATTATAATTTGTATCATATAACATAAATCAAGAAGAAAAAACTATTATTTTAAACTAAATTTTCTTGCTAAAAGGGCATCATCTTCTGGTGTACATCTATTACAGTAAGTACCTTTTGGATGATATAAGTNGAGCGCCATTTTACCTTTAACTAATTTTGTATAATTTAGTAAAAATACTGCCCCAGAATGTCTATTTGACGTCGCATTTGAAAACTGTTGGCACAATGAGAATTTACATACCTTTTTACGTAATTGTCTCTTCTAAAAGTTTATTAAATATGTTCCACCTTCGCAGTGATTGCACGAGCACCTCTTACCTGTAAGTTATGTACTGTTTAGCATAAATAATACCGCAAAGTACCTAAGAAAACTCGATTATTTTATATCCAATTTAGCAAATTTTACCAACTTTACACTAAAAGGAAACAAACAATAATTTTGTAATCCAATTCGAAAACTATTTTATCATTTTATTTAGGATTATATTTACTTATGTGCATTTAATCAATGCATATGGGGAAAGTATGCGTAAGGATCTAAGTAATATAAATACTTCCCATTTGTTATTAACAATAGACATTAATAGATGTGGGTGTTGTTGATATTGTGGATATGCTTGTTTGACTCATTAATTATTGTATTGATTTTCTAAATTGAATGCTTTTCGTATAATCTCTGTTGTTATGAACATGTTTTCTTATTTCAACATTTGATGTAATTTGTGACCTTCTTCGCGAATATTTGTTCTTTTTTATACTAATCAATGGGCAAACTTATGTAAAAAACGTAGAAGGAAGGTTATTACCATATATTTCCATAGTTATCAGTACGAGTGGAAAGTTTTACCGTATTTTGTTTATTTCTGTTCCTGTATTGTAAATTTTTTCTTCAAGTTCATGAACTTCTGTAATTCTCAGAACTTAATTTGTTTATTAAAAGTGTTGAAAACATAGATTCAGTTATTCCTAGGTCAATTCATGAAAAGTTACGTACAAGATTTAATCTTTCTTAATTACTGTTATTATACTGGAGTTACGATAAGTAGATACCTGAGGAGAAACAAATAATAGGAAAATGTAAATTCTTAAAAATACGGTAGATTTATTTTCTATTGTCGTTGTAAAGGTACAACACACTGTATATCATTTTATAGTTAAGTCTTTTTTAGGTTTGTGTGGTTTTCTTCCCATATGCGCACACATAAAATCAAAGAATAATGTATTTTATTAGAAATCTCAATAAGGATACAGGTTTTAACGATTGTAGTTGATACAAGTTATTATTCAATGAAAGCAAAGGGTCTGCAGGAGTATAAATTTTAAAAAACTTGTTACACTCACTCATGTGGGAGTAATTGCATAATCTTTTATTACTATTACTTTACTAATCTTTTTTAAATTATGCTTTTGTATGCTTTTAAGTATCAAACAGAAAACATTACGTTATTATCTGAATTGAGAAGATATTTTACAATTTTATTTTAGTAAATTATTTTTAATTTATTTCTTTTAAACAACGTCAGAGAAGATATGCCGCCCCATTAATGTCAAATCGCTACGTAATTAAAAGTGTTAAAAAAAAAGTGTTGATGATGATGATGGTGATGTAGCTTGTTGTAGAACTCCTGGTTTTCCACTTTTATAACACGTTACTGTTTATTTTGGACTTTTGCAGTATTATATTTACCCCATTAAGTTAAAAGAAAGAATGATATCCTTTTTTACACATTTACATTGTATTGCCAACTAATGTGATATAAAGTTAAGTGCAAAAATACATCACTGCTTAAGTGATATCAATATAAGGTTGACAATATTATTTATTGTAAATTATTAATTATGATTAGTGTACAGTTCTGTATTTATTTATTACATACTTCCTAATTTTTTCCTCTGTATTTTATTTATTAAGAAGTTAACAAATAAATTGTAATTTTGTTCGCGACCCATGTGTTTTTAATCAGCAGCGAAACGACACTAATTTGAAATTGATATTAAAAAAGTGATAATGAGCAATTTGCATCGTTAGAAAGTGTATTCTTTCCCTTATTTTTCGAATAATAATAGATGATCCAGTTATTTATAAACTCAATTATAATTTGTATCATATAACATAAATCAAGAANAGCTATTTGACGTCGAATTCAAAAACTTTTGGCACCATGAGAATCTACATACCTTTTTACATAATTATCACGTCTACAAACTTATTAAATACGTTCTATGTGCCAGTTATTTCACGAGCGCCATTTTACCTTTAACTAATTTTGTATAATTTAGGAAAAATACTGCCACAGAGTAGCTATTTGACATCGAATTCGAAAACTTTTAGTACCATGAGAATCTGCATACCCTTTTACATAATTATCACTTCTACAAACTTATTAAATACGTTCTATCTCGCAGTAATTCCACGAGCGCCATTTTACCTTTAACTAATTTTGTAAAAATACTGGCGCAGAGTAGCTATTTGATGTCGCACTTGAAAACTGTTGGCACCTTGAGAATTTAAATACCTTTTTACAAAATTATTACTTCTACAAACTTATTAAATATGTTCCATCTCGCAGTAATTCCACGAGCGCCATTTTACCTTTAACTAATTTTGTATAATTTAGCAAAAATACTGCCACAGAGTAGCTATTTGACGTCGAATTCGAAAACTTTTGGCACCATGAGAATTTAAATACCTTTATACATAATTATCACTTCTACAAACTTATTAAATACGTTCCATCTCGCAGTAGTTTCATGAGCGCCATTTTACCTTTAACTAATTTTGTATAATTTAGCAAAAATACTGCCACAGAGTAGCTATTTGACGTCGCATTCGAAAACTGTTGGCACCATGAGAATTTAAATACCTTTATACATAATTATCACTTCTACAAACTTATTAAATACGTTCTTTCTCGCAGTAATTTCACGAGCGCCATTTTACCTTTAACTAATTTTGTATAATTTAGCAAAAATAGTGCCGTAGAGCAGCTATTTGGCGTCGCATTTAAAAACTGTTGGCACCATAAGAATCTGTATTCTTTTCTACATAATTATCGCATCTATAAGCTTATTAAATACGTTCCAACTCGCAGTAATTTTACGAGCGCCATTTTACCTTTAACTAATTTTGTATAATTTAGCAAAAATACTGCCACAGAGTAGCTATTTGACGTCGAATTCAAAAACTTTTGGCACCATGAGAATCTACATACCTTTTTACATAATTATCACGTCTACAAACTTATTAAATACGTTCTATGTGCCAGTTATTTCACGAGCGCCATTTTACCTTTAACTAATTTTGTATAATTTAGGAAAAATACTGCCACAGAGTAGCTATTTGACATCGAATTCGAAAACTTTTAGTACCATGAGAATCTGCATACCCTTTTACATAATTATCACTTCTACAAACTTATTAAATACGTTCTATCTCGCAGTAATTCCACGAGCGCCATTTTACCTTTAACTAATTTTGTAAAAATACTGGCGCAGAGTAGCTATTTGATGTCGCACTTGAAAACTGTTGGCACCTTGAGAATTTAAATACCTTTTTACAAAATTATTACTTCTACAAACTTATTAAATATGTTCCATCTCGCAGTAATTCCACGAGCGCCATTTTACCTTTAACTAATTTTGTATAATTTAGCAAAAATACTGCCACAGAGTAGCTATTT